GATTATTTATCTGCATCATGCAAATTGTCTTATTTCAAACACCTACATTTTGTCATGATACTTTTCTGAATAGCTCCAAAAGTTAAAACACAAACAAAAAAAATTGCACTCATGTCATACAAGATACAGAGTTGAAATGAATATTCAAAAAGAAACTCTTGCTGTTTGCCATCAAACTTTCATTTTACCAAGACTGACCCCTCTTTCCCCGCTCTCAATACTGCTAGCGTGTTACTGATCTACTCGAGAACCATTTCTTCAAAGGACTCAAAGGAGCAGAAGAATCATCTATTGGCTACAGCACTATGACGAGGTTTGAAAAGTTCGATGCCTCTCCTTCATGTGACTTTAATCCCTCCCCATCTTAGTTCTCCACTGAACATCATCCCCAAAGCACTGCCTCGCTTCATAGGGATGCTCTAAAGACAAATCCATTATGGACCGCAAGCTTCAGGGGTCATGAGAGCTATTCTGAACTTAATTATTAAATCAATTATTTTGCCAAGTTAGCCTTCTCTTTGTGGGATGCTTTTCCAGCTACAGTGTATTTCATGGACCAGAAATTAAACAAAACATATAATGGGTGTAAAGAATGACGAAGCTATAAAATTTTGCTGAGAGCCATATGATTTTTAGGGGTTTTGGTTGGTTGGTTGGTTGGTTGGGTTTTTTTGAAAATGTTTTTGCATGAAGTCCAGAGTCACTAACAAGTAACCGGTTTCACAGCTAGTTTTTAGGACACAGCCCAGTACTTACACTCAGACAATATGCTAGTTAGCCTCGTGCTAGCCACATGAGCACAAATCAGTTTTTTACTTTTAATATGCACTAGAAGAAGCTGCGTTGCCATAGTAAGTGGGAAGGACCAGAAACCCTGCTGTGTTATTATGCAAAACATACGCTTGGTTACTAAGAATAAGACAAAAACCTTCTCTGAGGGAAAACTGTCTCCTACGTACCTGCCTGCCACCAGACCTCTAAGACCTTCTTCAGGAGCCTCTGGCACTGTCTGCAGTTGCTGGCTGGCTATCGGTCTAGACAGGCCAGCGGCCTGGCTATTCCTATGCCCTTGCAGCTCAGATTGCTGAACCAGCCGTGCGCGATCACGCACACCGCTGTTAATCAACAGTGAACCCTATCAGGCAGGGAGGACAGGGACACTGAGGACTCCAAACATTAGCCACCAATACACTTCCTTCCAAGATTAAAAGCAGTATTTTGAAAGGACAGTCATCTTATCCACAGGCTTGCATCTTGCCATTTTAAATAGACTTTGCTGGGATCAGGTAAACTGCAGGCCACCCACACACTTCAACAGAAAATGGGTGTTGAATTCAGGGGAAGTATTCAAGTCACAGCCAAGCGTTAGCAACAAAGTACACCTGCATGGTGACTGCAGATGCCAGTGAATCAGGTAGAGGGCTGGGTGGCTTAAGGGCAAGTAGGCTCGAGAGATGCGCTGCAGGAAAAGCCAGTGTGGTTCCACCAGCCAGGATCATACACAGGGCAAGTGCTCTGTCCTTTGGAAAGGCAGGTCCCAGTCTTTAACATCTCTCTCTCGGCCCTGCTGAGCTGGTGCTCCAACAAAGCTGATGCAGGACTGCCTAAAAGGCACACAAACACAGGGTCTCCTCTTGAAATGACAGTTTTTGGCACGTGCAGCTAATGGGAAGCAGAAGCTTATGACTCTGTTAATTATGCCATTACAGAAGGAGTCTGAGCCTGATAAATGAGCCAGGAAAGATGATCCTGATCCTCTGACAGGCCAGTTCTGCAGGAAATTCAGCACCGTAAGCAGCAACGCACCATACTAGCCCAGTAGCATCTGTCACTTATCAAGGCAGGGCTCAGCACGGCTGACTCCACGAAGCAATCTGAGGCAACGCAGACTTCCTCAGCCAGGTCACTGCATCAAACAGCAGAGTGATTCATTCATGCAGTGATGCCTCAAACACAGCTTGGGCCTGATGAAATCCCTTAAAACTGCAGTGACAACACTCTTCTCCCACACGGGCTACAGCCTGTAAACACTGCAGACTGATGGAGAAAGCTGTCATCTGTGTTGGTGCCACCAGCCTTGGATGTCTAAGAAGCTGGTAGCCTGCTCCAAAGGGCACACAGCACCCAGGTGGCGAGGAACCCATTTCTGGAAGCCTCGATACCATTTGGAAAAAGAAAACTAAAATAAAGCAAAGACCTCCTTTCCCTTCTTCTTCCCATCTTCGTCTTTCCGTTTTATTCTCATTGTGCCCTTACACAAAGTCTCATTTTGCACGGCACAGACTCTCGAGCTTTTCTTCCACTAGCAGAAAAATCTCAGCAAACTTTCACTGGCAGCCCTTCCAAAGCTGCCTTGGACCAGAACGCAAATCAGAAAAAAAATATTTCACTATTTAGTCTCCTGCTAAATTGTGGCCTTGAAATAAACCTTCCTTTCCAGTTATGTTTAACCAAACATTAACAGAAGGAAGTCAGCGTGTGTTTGTATAGGTACAGAGCATCTCACTGCAATGAGTAAATACTTTTGAAGAAGCACTTGCATATCCTGCAAGGCACCTGCTTGGCCAACTGGTATGTAAAAGGTGTCAAAAGAGTCAGTAAGAGGACACACAAATGGTTAAAACCAAGCAAAATCCGTCTCTCCCCGGCAGCTTTCTTTGGACAAGTGAAAGTCCAGTTGTTCAAACTCCTGCCCTTAGAGCTCCTTTAACAACTTCGCGTACACCCTGAGCAAGTTGTGTTACTGTGCGGGTCTGCTCCAAGACACAGCCTCTGTGATGCAGAAGGGTCGGTCCTCTAGAAGCGAATGCAACACTCGCAACGCGCATGCAGGAAGAGACAACTCACTACAGAGAAGGAGATTCACTCACATGACAAAAGCTTTAAGGCTTTTCATCCTTTGGCCTATCTAGCTCTAAAATTTTCTCCGAGACCGATGAGAAAGATCTCTCACCTGTGTTTTCCTGATGACATGCATGTTTCTAATAGGTATATCCATTCAGTCTGTCCAGTGTGTGTGAGGGGCGAAGGGTGTTTTTTGCGTGTGTGTGCAGATGCGCAGATTGTAATTCACATCTAATTGCACTCTCACTACATACATGTGACAGAAAACATTAGGGCAACTACTGAGAGGTGACTTGAAAATCGTGAAGAGCAGAAGTTGTCTCTCAGTGGATACTCAGAAAAGGTCAGAAGAATGGAAAGGAGCAAACAATACAGAGATCTGAACATTTAACTTGAGATGAAGAAAACAAAAAGGCTGAAAGTTGGAAAATCAGCTCAGTGCCTCTTACAAAACGCTCATGTCAATGCGTAGAGGAAAGGACTGGTGTCTGTCTCCATCCAGCTCCTCACCAACAATCCTTTCTGCGTACACACGTGTTGCTTGCTCCAGTCTGTTGCACGGGGACTCCAACCAACCAGTGTGTGACGTGTTGTTTTATTTATTGGTATCAAATGGAGAGCCAAGATGACTCAGATACTGACCAGGATCCCCCTGTGTGAGAAGCCCACTGAACTTCAGACCACTCGAGTGCCAAATGTACATTTACCCTTTCAAAACCCAGTCTTTCATACACATTTCAGCATTATCATTGTAGTCTCACAAATACACAGGGTTTTTTCAACAAATGACATGCATCCTGTTGTGAAAATTAACTCGCATAACAAAGAAATTGAGCTTTCCAGCAGGGCACCTAAATTTAGGAGCCTATATCATCCCATAAAGTCGCAAAGCACCTAACTGCCTTTTTCTCATAGATGACTAAGTATAGCAGATGCATCTACAAAGTGCAACAGCTGAAATGAAAATCTCTTAGAGCCATCCCCAGTCTCATCAGCACTGGCAAACACTCCAACGGTCAGTGAGAAGTCACAGTTAGTGCCACCATCTTCAGAACCAATTTTCTTCCCTTTTCCTTGAACAAAATCTTTTTACCTTTGCGATTCTTCGCAGACAAGATGAATAAAAACAAGCATCTGATATGTAATCTGTTTGTCCAGGGGGGAACAAAACCCCTACGGTCATTTCTTTCTTATTTGAGCGGTCACATTGTGCACATAATGGGAGAATGGAATAGCGAGAGTCTGTTTCCTGGGCAAAGCTATACTGGAATTTCATAATAAAATTTCAGCTTCTCTAGCAACTGAAGTCTTGTGTTGAAATCACGGTGCGGCAAGGTAATGTTCTGCCTGATGTTCCATGAATCTGATGAGCCGCTATACAATGTTAGGGAAGAGTAGAGTTCTTAGTCATGAGCACACTCAATAATCCATTTTGAGAAAGATGTCCGATTCCTTTACTTGTGAAAACAGTAAGAACTTGCCATGCCCAGAGGTGTCATGATCTAATTTTCCAGGAATTGCTTACGCTTTATTCCTAAGTTTAAGCAAGCTTTTGAGAACCATCCATTTTCCTCAGTCCAAAGCATTTTATGATTTTGTCCTTTACGGCAACAGAAGCCTATACTTTGCTTAGCACACTGAAGATAACTGCTGTGTTGGAAGAGGGCTGTTAATCCACACACATAGGCAGCAGACACTGAAATGAGAACCCCAACTGTTTCTCGTCAGTACACGATGTTCAGAATACAACTCCGTTGAGAGACAGGTTGTGCTTTTCCTCCAGAAGTGAAAAAAGGAGAAAAAAAAAAAAAAAGAAAAAGAAAAAAAAGACAGAAAAGACCAGAGCAGAAAACTGTACCAGGGCTCGAAATGACTGAAAGCAGCTAAAACCAACCAGTCCTGCCCTCAGGAAATACCAGCCACAGGAGAGCATTAAGAGGGCTGCAAGTATCCTTAGCTGTTCGGACCTGCTCATCTAGCAACCTTTACTAAAAAGAGGAAGTCTTTCTTCAAAAGTGAATGGAGCCTGTCAGTTCTGCAGGAGTTCCTTTTATGTACTTGCTCTGTCATTCCCTTTATTTTGTCTCATCAGCGAGGCTGGGGTGCCCTGCCAGATAGCGCTGGGTGGCCTTCCCAGCAGAACTTCCTCTCGTTTACAGGCAAATTGGTAAGTGTCCCAACGCCAGATCTTCACAACGCTGTCTCGCCCATGCAGACTTTGTAGGGTGATTTCAATTTCCTGCATCTAAAATGGACAACATGATACGATTTTAATCAGACAAGTCTAAAATCACAGCAGTCTGAACAGAACCTAAATCTAATCGCCTAACTCATTCAGGCAGCCCCAACGAAATCCCTGTTTCAGAGAATCGCACCATTTGACCCGATTGTCAGATTGGAAAGCAGAGGTATAGAGCGTCAGCTGCTTTAAGATCGCACCGCAGAGCAGTAACAGGCAAGAACACACTCCCAGTGCCCTCAAAATTCTGCACACTGTTTCCTCCGGCCCACTGTAATTCAGAAGACTGTAATGAGAAGGTTACATATCTCCCGTACCTCTTTCTTACGTAGCAGTAGATGATAGCAAGTATCCCACTTGTCAGTATTCCTACACCAATTCCCACAGCAATGTAGCGTTCGTAAGAATTATGTGCGTATGAATTTAGTGTTAAATGTTCACACCTCTCTCCATTATAACCTGCAAGGCACCTACAAAATAAACATATACCATGCAAAAATCATTCAGAACTTCTTATGCTTTGTATTTCAGAAACACATGTTAGTTTTCGTCAGTTTTAAACAACGTAGAACAAGTCTAAAAGAGGATGGGCTGACTCTGCTGCTCAGTCAGAACCTCTTCCCTCCACCAAGACTACCAGTTGCCCCAGTCTATCTAGTTTAAAGCTAGCTGAAGTACTGCAGTCACAGCAGCAAACGCAGTCTAAACATACCCTCATCACAGAGGGTGTGGATGGAGAGCACTGTGCTCTGCTCATCCTTAGCTGCTATAATGTCTCCAAAGGCCAAAGCTGCCCAGTACGGACCCTAGAAAATTTTAAGGGCACCATAGTCCTGATTGATATTTAAGCAGCTGCGGAATAAGGGAGTTGCAGCTGACATCTTGGAAGATCCTCCCCCCTTCATCATGCCCACTGTGAAAATCTACTTATTCCTCTACGACTTACTCTAGCACCAGTTGTGTTTTGAGATGCCATCATGGCAGTGACATACAAAGCTGTGGATTTTCCCTCTCCCTTCCTTAGTATTCACTAGCACAGCACTACTGCCTCGTTAACAATCCTGAGCCACCAGAGCACTCGAGCCTGTGCCAAACTTTAAGCCTGCAAATACTTGACTGGCTCCTGAAAGCTGCGCTCTGCTGAATATTAGTCACATTACATTAGTAACATGTAGCAGACAAAGAAACAATGCTACTGTTGTTATTTTCTAAGAAGGATACTTATAAGCAGCATTCTTTACTTGCATATGGGTTTCCTCAATTCGCTGTGGAAAGCACAGAGCCCGTTGATACAATAGCTGTGGTGTTCTTCAAGACAGGTCTGCATGAGCTTCAAGAGCTTTGGCTGCTCTGTGTAGTCTACTGTAAAAGGGGAAAAAGTCATGTTATATTTAGGGAAAAAAAAAAATCATTTGAATATATTTTCACAACTCAAGTTGAACACACATTGCCTGCAGAAGACACTTAATACATAGACTTACTGTGATATGTGTCATGAGCAGATTCAAACACCGCTAAGCAGAACAAGCTTCTAAGACATTCCAGCATAGTTTTAGAGAAAGAACAAACTGTAAATAAATTAATTGCTCTTGAGAAGCAGGTATAAAAGTGATTATGGAAAATTCACCTGGGGTAACATCAGCACTAGGAATATCGGGGGTTTAGGACACAATGACAGCATTGAATTATTCGCAGTATGCTTCCCAGTCTCAATTCAAATTACTAATTAGTTCCTGTTTTCTTTCTAACACTCCTGCCTGACAGCTCTGCAGCTACGAGTGAGTGATGAATGGTGGATTGCTCCCTCCATCCATTCTCCACGGTCTAATGTTAGCAGAGTGTCCAATTATGCTTTTAAGAACCCAAGACTGCCCGGATGGTCTCCCTATGCAAAAGCATGGTCCGTGACTATTAAGTTTCTGAACTTGCGCAAAATTATATGCATCCAAGTCAGTAAGCATGCTTCTGCTTTGAAAGCACAGAAAATGACTACCTTAGTCCCAACCATGGTGGCTCAAATGGGAACAAAGGAAAAGTCAAAACTGTTCTTGGGGATCTTATATCAATATTACATCGGGATAGAAGAGCACCTGAGCCCAGGAGCGAGGCACCCTGCTGTGTAGGAGTGCAGAGGCCGGCATGAATCTGAAACATGGGAGCAGGGGTGCGGCAAGTGAAGAGAAAGCTCAAAAGCTTCACCATCAAAGCAAGTATCTGTTTGAACTGGTCTCTCTACCCAGTTACGGGAATTGCTGGTGGGGTGGGGTGTCCAAGCAATGTCTTACTATTTCAGGGGACTGTTTCAGTGATGGCTGAAGGCGATTTCCTAACCGAGTGTATGTCAACAGCAGCTTTCAGTTATGAACACAAGAAAAATAACATCAAGCAGGACGGTGACAAGGTCTGCTCAGAGTGACTAAACAATGGTACAGCAAGCAGAAACCATCCTTTCTGACTAAGTGCTGAATCAAGGTCTGGCAATATTACACTGATGAAACCATTGTGATAGACGTCAGCTTCTAGCTGTTGTCCTGTGGGCAACTCGAGATCCCACGACACATTTTTCAGGAATAACACCACCAACCCCCTAAATTCCCGATAAAATGCCAGTTTGAGTCATTTAATGGCGGGAATCCCCCCCGTGCGCTCAACTACACGATTTTTTTTTCTTCTTCCTTTATGCAGCTTCATCAGAGAGATGACAAGCGATGGTAAACAGCTGCTCTACTGTACACCCGCACGTTAGAGCAATTCACAACTTCAGTTGTGAATCATGTGGTTTGGACACCTAAGAGGCATGATGCTATCACTGTTACTCAGCTCAAACAACACTACTTGGAAAATAGTGCCCTCTAAAACATGACAGACTAATCAGACTTCCAGCTTATCAAGAGACTTAGAGAGAACAAATAACAATTCAAGTCTGCTTGGAAAAAAAAAAAATGTTCGTTTAGTACACTTTCTCAGGAAAAGCTACAGAGGTGGAAAAAACATGTCTTGCTTTAAAATGAACTTCTCTGGGCTGAGAAAAGGGCATCTTTTTCATTCTTGTAAGGAAAAATCACATAAGTTTCTCTTCGTGCCTAAAGCTAGAAACACAACGCTAGAAACTATAAGGCAAATCCACAGTTTTGGCCTAGCAATCAAGTGACAACACATACACACCAAAGGATATGCCAAGACTGAGGCCCTACCTCTACCGCACACTACGATGCAGCAAGGGAGTACCTGAAGCAGCTCACAGACTAGATTTGCGTCCAGCATCACGTAGCAGTGAGCTCTATGCTACCACAGCTAGGTTGTCCCCATATACTGAAACCAGAACGGTATCTCTGCTATAGAAAGCCCTGTGTAGGGCAGACACACCCATAGCCTTGAACCACACACTCTGCAAGGGAAGAAGTTGGCGCTGGCTACACGCTAGCTCCAGTATCTAGCTCTGGCTGTTTTCTGGCTGGCTCCGGGAACGCTGCCGACAAGCTCCAGGGACAGACTTGTTGGCTGAGAGCACAGTCAGCACAGGACCAGGCCTTGGAGGGACAGATTTAAGGAAGAGAAGAACAACTTAAGAAAGGACAGATTTCAGGAAAAAAAGACAGATTTTATGACAAGAGATGGATGATACTACTTTCTGCACAGGAGGACTGTACAATTCTCACTGCTGGGGAAAGCACAATGGAAAACAAAGCACATCGTAAACACAGCTGCAGGGCTCAGCATGCCAAGGAGATTCAAGATGCAGGAGACATGCAAAAGCCCATTTTCACTCAGGCCTAAAGTACCTGCAGACCAGCTACCAAAGCTCTGCAGGGAAGAGTTCCAGAAAATAGGCAAAGGCACATTCACGCTTCCCCCGTGCCTCTCCTCAAACACTTAAGCACCAACTCTTTTGAATCACCATCAGCACAAGGGGGGCTGAACAGTGCACTACAAAACCGCTAAACATAACCACCCAACAGGACCCTTTAATGTGCGTTTCCTGCCACCCAAAGTACTACTCTTCTACCGGGCCCTGAGAAGATGTCTCCTGCACAGGTTTAATATTTCACTTGTACCAAAGAAAGTGAAAAGAGCGAGGAAAGTACAAATCTATACGCCAGAGGTGCGAAATCCCCAGCCACCTCTACTCAAACTCCCACCAGACCGATTCACGCAGCCAGAACATCCCTCCTCGTTTACCCCACCGCTGCCGAGAGGTGGCAGCCTTCCATCTACCAACGTCTGGAAGAAACCTCGCTTGGTGCAAGTACGCAAAACCTCTTCCCCTGAGTGCTGTGAAAGTCAGTACTGTCATTAGAAACAAAGGTCAGCCTAGAGCAGAAGCCTGCCTAGAAAGCGTTTCAGACAAACATCTTGCTGCGCAGGCGACAAACAAACAATACATTCCTCCCTCGTTGTCAGAAGCAAGAGCTTTGTCCATTGTGGGTTGCAGGATCAGATCTTAAATGTACACACAAAAATTCTAAGTGCTAATTATTCTGACATTGCAAAAGTACAAATTACCTCTGAAAGAATGATGAGTCTTGACAACAAAAAGAACGATTTTCTAACCCATCCCAGAGTATCATGCTAATTCATATCATATTATCCACCTAGATACTAAATAAGCTGTTGAATAAACACATCCATGTGCCCTTTCATGTCACGTGAGGAAAGAAAAGCATGCTGTGTAAGCACTTGACAGTTGCCTGCAACTGAGTCATTCGAACAGATACACTTGGCAAGATCTGACATGAAATCAAAACTACAGGTACTTGGAAGCCTGGGCATGCCAAAACTGACAGACTGGCAACAAAAAAGAGTCAGCCACTAAGACCACGACAGCTCAGCCTTCAGGTATGGTGCGTCAGGGAGGAACGGGAGAGTCAGAAAGGGGAGGGAGGGAAAGGGTCAGCCTCAGGTTCAGGGCCTCCCTTACAGGCTGCACAGAAGCAGCAGCTCATGGCAATGAAGGGATCTCATTTTTCCCTCAGTAAAACCAAGCCCTTCCCTACTCCTAGCTGCCCATTTTGCTACAAAGGCTCCCCTTCAGCCCAAACAGCATTAGAAGTTCTTTATCCCTGCCGTGTCAGCTCCCAGCCAGACATCCTCCCCACTACCTCTTCCCCCCGGCTGATCACCGAGCCTAACGTTTCCTAGCCCCAGCACTGGTGACAAGTAAAGCCTATGTAACATAAAATAAGGAAGTAGGACATTATCTTGTAAATAATAGGAGGCAAACGGATTGAGCAGAAGTTAATGGTTTTCCACAGACTGCACCTCAGTCCCCAGAGGACTCGCAATCCCACAACAAACTGTCAGTTCCTCCAGTGATACTTAACGAGGAATTCATTTTCTTAGGATCCGGTATTACTGAACCTTGATTAAAAACCTTACTATAGATTTGCACGGGAACAGGAGCTACGAGAAAACTTGAGAGATACAGCCAGTTTCTTTGGTGACTCTTTAAGCATTTCTTTTCAGTCTTCTTTATGGAAATGCTGTTTTCTAACTTTTCAGTGGCTTTGCAAAGGTCCACCGAAACATACTTTTAACTACCCGTGTCAATGTGTGCTACTATGTTTGTGAATTTGCTTCTACCTTTGAAGGGAACACACTCTCAAATAAAAGCGCTGGTATCTAGTTGACTTGCACAGCCACGGCTAGCATAAAGGCACATGGGACAATTACAGACATGTCTGTGTCCCTGTAAATAAGCCTCTTATTTGTTAAAACATGACCCACAACTCCTGCTTTCTACAAATAATACTAACAAAGTACTCAACGAGTCACAGCATATTTCTACTTCATTATACTCCTGTTTGCTGTATGCAACTCTGGAAGAATCGTGTCACAGACAAATCCACTAAACCAGACCACAGTGCTGCGCTGATAAATCAAACTACTGCAGTCAAAAATCAACATCTTGACTTCACATACATATATTTTACATGCATATAGATGAAACCCACATATATAGTATATGTATGGATGAATGTAGATATATCTATAACACTGTACCACTATGACAAATGAGACAAAAAAAAGAACAGTTTAACTAGTTATGAGAAAAATAAAAAGCATATGGATCTACTAAAAAAAGCTTTTAAGACATCCTGCGATGACTTACAATTACAGAAGATGATTTGTATGCGTGTTTATGTTCTTTTTCAAGTACAAAGTCATTAATAAGTATCACAGTTAAAATCCTTTCCTCCTTTACTGACCTGCCAAAACCTCAGTTCCAGATCGCACAGTTCTCCAAAAGTAATGACATCACTAGCACCTGAAGTAACATCAAGAATGCAGCTTGCAGGATAAACACAGCGCTCTGGTCTCAGATGTTGGCAGGTAAACAGCTTGAGTTCACATTTCAGTCAGAAAAGAAAAAAAGAAAGAAAAGAGAGAGCTAGCACTCTGAAGAGGGCTGTGGAAGCTGCGATAGCCGAAAGCGTAACTTCAACAGAGAAAGAAACTACTGAGTAACAGTAATGAAAGGCATCACTTGAAGTTATGCTTGCTGCATTCTGACTTGTGTGCATAAAGATTCACACTGAAGACAGCTAGAAACCAAGCACTAGTTAAAAATAACAGAAATGGCCGTCAGAAATGCAGATCATCTATCCCAATTAGCCTTAAAAGTATCTTCTTCAAATTATAACTGACTGTGGATAAACAATCCTTTAGCTGGTCAACGCTGAGTCTATCCCAGCTGAGTGGCAGCTATTACTTCAGAGAGATTTTTAAGGCTCCACGAAGAAAGCAGCTCATCTCACAAATAACACACACATAAAATTCAACAGTGTCCAAGTGACAGGAGCATTATAGAAGCTATCATCATAATAGATTTTGTTGCTGTTTCTTTGTTTTGGTTTTTCTTTCTTTTTTTTTTTTTTTTTAAGCAGCAGATCAATAGAGACAAACAGAACAAAAAAGAAATACCTTCAGCGTTGTTTTTTGTCCAGTTATTCCATAAGTCTGTGCTGAGGGATGAAACAGTAACAGCTGACTCTTCACTCAGTGCCCCCATTGCTGTGTAATGCAAATAGATGCTTACTGTAACAGAAAAACTCAGTATATCTATTCAAAGTTCATTTCATCCAGAAAACATGTACCCACTTAGTACAATTCTGATATGATGCAGCAATATAATAACAATTCATTTAAAACATTCTTGCTTCAAACTTCCTTTTGCCACAACATAATTATGATTGTGGGGAAACAAACTATTGTTTGCAAATTTACAAAATACATATCCATTCTGTTCTCCATTCTATTATCTTAAGCAATTTACGACACAGATACTTGTAACATACTACAATGTTACACCTATTTACCAGTCTAAGTAGCTTCTTTCCAAAGAGTCCAAATTACACCCTATCAGTTAAAATTTCATCCAGGTTTAAAATTGCTAAAGTAATTCTGCTTTGCAATGTCTTCGCATGCTTCCCACCCCTACCACTTATTTCAGAAAGAGCGAACTATTGTTCAACAAAGCCTTGTATCTTACAACATTGAAAAGCCTCCTCCAAACCTACCTTTCAGCAAAATATAGATTAGCATTCCAAACGCCATGGCAAGCAGCTGCTTTAACACCTTCTCAACTCTTCTTTCCAGGTGGTTCGCTTGCTCTGCTTATCTGTGCTCTCGTGTTTTCTCTTGCACTTATATGCCATGAAGCGTCATCTGCTGTTCTCACCAATCAAAAAAAGGTGCATCTGGCAACAACCTCAACGCCCGGGGCAACCACACATTTATTTAGGAAACTGCTATTATCTAGCAATGGGATCAGGTTTTCTTTTGAAACCCTGGTTTCCTATTACCTGTGGGCATAATTGTGCATACAAAGATACAGTTTTTAAAAGACACCTGGTATCTGCCAGAGCAGATCAACGAAACACAGCAAAACAGAGATGAACAAAATGAAAAATGACGTAGTGTGAAAAACGTGATCTTTCTTTCCCTTAGCAATATAGGTCTCGTGTTACTTCCAGGAGGATAGTCAGCATTCAGGATGCTGCTCTGGAGTTCAGGGTCCAGGGCCCAGCCCCTGCTTTGCTTGTGCTCCTCCCTTGGTCCTCCCTGTACCTCAGTTCCCTGCCATCCAGAAGAAGAACTGCGAGAACAGCTAGTGCAGAGATTAGGAAGTGATCAGACACAAAGATAATAGATGATGTTCTCCATCAGTGACTGCCAGCAAGAGGCCTTTGATCACAGGCTCTGGCGAGCCTGAGGGGCATGCTAATCATTCAGCCTTCCCATGTGCACAACACTCTGAAGCAAGGCAGGCTACCAGCCCAGCACAAGGCCTGGGATTGCTGGCTGGAGCTACGCACGGTTGTGCGGGGCAGAAGTCAAAAGCTGGCCAAGGTCAGGTGCTGAGAAAACACAGACTGAAAGAGCAGGTAAACTGTTGCCCCCTTTATCAGGCGATCCCTTTGTTAGTCCTGTCACTATACTGCCAGAAAAGCCCACCTCTACCTTTTCAAGGAAGTGGGTGTGCATAATGAGAATCATCATACTTTTCACATAAAGCGTTTGTAGGTCTCTAAGACATACCTGTCATACACATTTCTTATACTAAACCACTCTCCACAGCCCCCAACGCTGTCCAACTTCCTTGGTCACAGGCAGCTTGGAACAACTAGGACTGGTCTCTCTGAAGGGTACTTAGGTAGCCAAACATGCTAGAACAGATCATCAGAAAGGCCCAGTTCAATAATGTACACACACACACCAACAACCCGACTCTCACCAAAGGAGATACACACACTTCACCCCAGCAACAACTTTCGCTTTCTCAACTGTGAGCTCCAACCAACAAAAACATTTCGCAATTTTTATATTTTAAAACCAAAAGTTCTCTGATAAATGCTCTAATAACTCTGGTCAGCTCAAGTTCTGCCTCTATGCTGTACTCTCTTCAATGATCGGTAGGATTAAATCTAACCACTTCACATGTTAAGGGAAAAACACAAGCTAGTTATGTACATTTTAATTACGCGTTCTCCTGCTCATGGACTGCATTCCAGGAGGCTTTTCCCTTCCTTCGCTATCCTGAATTGCTGCATGCCTGCACACTGATCGAGTGCAGCTTGCACACTCCCTGGATCAACAAGAGTGTTTATGCCTACCTGGATAACCTCTGCTATCAGTCCCGAGCAGGGCTAAGTCTCATGAGCCTTGCTTTCAACACACATCTACACAATGGGAGCTTAATCCGGCTTGAATCCGAGAGGTGGCTTTGTCATTAGGCAATACAGCTGGGTGCGGTAGGCCTGTGAGAAGGCTTCAGCGGATAAGGCCGTGCCTCTGTCCGCCACAGGGCGTTCATGCTTGGACTGGACTTGACCAGGTCTGGCACACGAGCATGCTTTTTGCGTTGGTTAATAGGCCCTTCCCTCTGGATACTCCTTCTGGATGTTCTCCCAGTGGAGAACACTCTCACAGATGTGTCCGGCAGCTCTGAAAATAGCATGGCGTTGACTGAAACCTCAGTCTCACTGGCTTTTATGTAATCCACCATAGGTGAAAAGAGGGAAAACCTTAAAGTGTACAATACATTGTTTGTAGGATGTGAAAGAGGCAGACTCACTCAAGTGACTTAAGCAAAATGCCATAAATTGTTATTCTGCCAAAAAAAAAAAAATGCAGAGACGATTATAGCTAAATTGACGAAAACCAATACAAATGTAGAACTGCAATGTAAACGTGAAAAAAAGTCATGACTGACCATGCAAAAGACCTCCATTCGCTCCACTCTTAACACACTAATAAAAAAAAGAAAAAACACAACCACCCCCAAAACTGTATTAAAATTTTTCACCAAGACTAACATAACAGTGAACAAGTTTTATTCCACATTAGTCAATGATGGCTTGATCACTCTAACTACTATCTCCATAGGCACCTTGATCCTCCTAACATTTACACTACCGCTTAAATTTCAACAGATAAGCAAGTGTCTGCATTATTGGCACTATATATTTAAAAATGATTCTGTCAACCTCTTTTGTAAATGCTGCCTTAAACAAAACTCTCAGAAAGTCCACCACAAGAACAATCAGCACGGAAGTGATGCTCCATCTTGTTTCTTTTATTACAGTAAGCACACCTTTTTTTGTTTAATGGCAGTAGTATTCAGCCACAATTTTTTTTGCTTCCCCTTTCAAGTTATCTATAGTCTACTGGCAAACACCTAAGGCTCTTGATGCAAATAAATCAAAAGTTATCCCAACTGAGATAAAAACACGAAAATAAAAGTCCAAAGTGGCTCCCACTGACTTTAGTGGGAATTGGGGTAGGCTCTTCACATCAACAGTGCACACACTCAGTTCAACTGGTGTCTTAGCAGTAACTCCACTCAAACTTTTACATTGCATGAGACTATTCAAGATCCATCTTGGAACTAAAATTTTTAAGAATAGAAACATACTGATCTTATTATCCCATGTAGTCCTCTCTAAGCAGCAAAACATTGTAGCCAAGGATTCGCAGGGCTGAGCCTTACATCATGGACTAAAAAAACCCCACCAAACAACAAAACCCTTTATGCAGTTTCTAAAAGTAAGAGAATAATTAAATGGCTTAAAATTCCAACACAAATATTTTATCAGGGATAAACATCTGCTTTCCTTTTCCTCTTCTCCCCCCACCCCCCGCATTAGACATAACATACATACATAGTAGTTTTAACTACGTTCTACCTAATTAAAGTCCAATCCAGCCCAGTCATCTATTCTTTTTTTTTTTTGTGGGATGAGGATATTTTACACCAAAACATTTTGTCAAACAAATCCAGACATGGAAAGAAAATAATTCTGGCCTCAATTCTAGCTACTTATTCATGTATACCTCTTGCATATGTTTAAGGTCAGAATTTCACCAGCGTTCCACTTCACTTGAGTATTTTAAAACATGTACTGAACATTTGCATTCACGTCAACGTTACTGCCTGGCAGCTGAAACAAAAATTTCAGTCTTTCACTCCATTCAGATTCAAGATTTCTGCTGCTATCTCTAAGTGTTTTAAAAAAAATATTTTAAGACTTAAACTACACCCAGAGCGCTTCACGGCCTCAGAACCCAAACCATATTTTTAAAAGATATCTAGCATGTTGAAACTTAGGTTTTATACTTTGATCAAAACGGAGGGCCCCAAGTGCTTATAAGATCTTGGTAATTGCACCCCACCCCCAGATACACAGGCATATTTGCAATTCATGCTTCGTTCTTTGTTTTCACACACGTAATTGACCACCAACACCGTATCTGCATAGCCTGCATTCTCCAATTCATTTTTGCTCACAATAAGTCAGTAGGAGGAAACACAAAGTATTTAAACATTTTGTAAACCATCAGGTTTAGCAGACTTTACATGAAAAAATAAATACAATGTAGAAATAAATATCTTTGTAGTAAAAAATAAATGTTTTGTGTATCAATAAATAGAACAACTTGGATTCTTCTTCCAAGGTAGCCCGCTTGCTCTAGTAAATGAGCTTTTTTGCAACTATGAGTGTGTTCTTCAGAAGCATTGCAACAGTCATAGGTCCTACCCCTCCTGGCACTGGAGTGATAAAGCCAGCCTTCTTCTTCACTTCTAAGAGAAAAGAGAAAAAGGTATTGACTAAGAACGTTTCCCAAAATTTTTTTTTCCTTCAGTTGCCCACATATGCCTAACTGGCTATGAGCATAAAGGACTGAGACTTGGCAAGTACTGGAGAATATGGTAAAAGTTAAGGCAGAAGGCTTATTACAACCACGGTAGTGACAGAATACAGTCAGGACCAGGGCTGCAAGGTAGTTTTCTTCATCTGAAGATTATTACCCAGGGGCTAGTTCTGGGGCATGGTTTTACAACCTGTTCGAGCTGATCTACCTGCAGCAGGCTGCCCTTTCCTCATGGGAGCAACACACACTCATGGAGCCTGTGGTCAGACAGATCGAAGGCTAATCCTGCCAAATTTTTTTGGTAAGGGGCAGTTTTTGACTGTTTGACCTGGCTGACCAGCTGGCCCAGGAACATATAGGTGACTCAAGGGCAGGACGACCCCAGGAGGGCAGCACGGACTTGCATCACCCCCATCTGCCAACTGTGATACTTCACCTCCAATATCCAGGAGAGCTATGGAAGCTGGGGATCTCATTCTGTAGGTAAAGAGATGACCCCCCCCCCAAACTGTGTGCGTTCCTGAGGAGCGGCATGCAGAGCAGGAGTCTGCTGTAACTATCAAAATCGACAGCAGAGCACCAGCAGCAGTTAAGTCACCTATTACCCCGACTCTGGCTTGCGCCTTCTGACAAAGACATTCTACGATCACAAAAGGGAACTTAAAACCGCAGCGGGACTACAGTTTCCTGGTCGATTTGTTTTTCTGCTTCACAATATGGACAAAGAACAAAAATAAGAGTTGTCTTCAAGGAAAAAAAAGACTCTAGCGGCAAAATTCCCATTGCAACTTCAGCCATAAACACTCAGCTCCTCCAGAACAGACTTTTTTTTTTTTTTTTTTTTTTTTTTTTTTTTTTTTTTTTTTTTTTTTTTTTTTTTTTTTTTTTTTTTTTTTTTTTTT